ATGCTGTCATATACTATTGCCTTAAGGGATGGGATCTGAAGCTCGATGAGAAGCCAATGTTTACGTTCCAAAACAGGGATAAACACCTGCAATCATAAGTAATAATTCATTCATTTACGGACTTATTTATGAATACCTTTAAACTCAATCTAAAATAAACACTAACCTTATCAACCTCCCACCATGCAGGATAAAGTTTAGCTTGTCCATTGCCCAACACAAATGATTCATCTCGTTGATTCTTCAAGTGAACGGCGTTAAAAGACGTCGGCATAATTGTATATCGTGTATTTCTTTTATTTTCCTTAAGTTTCCTAATTATTAGAAGATGTGACACCCACGCATCGATATGCTGTTTTACAAAAAAGACATATATTAGTAACTTACATAAATTTAAAAAAATAATCAAATTAAAATATAAGAAAAATATAAGACTTACCCCTCCATCGAAATAGCCATTGTCTTCGACCCCTAATAATACTCCCCACCAAGACCGATCAAGCAACAAATAGATATCATCGTTGAGCTTGCATATGTCAGTGAAACACCCCTGGCTCCGCTCATGTAGATAAAAATCAACTGCGGTCTTAGCCCAAAGGGTGTTATCCAGAATTGTGTCCGGTAGTTGTTTCCTCTCCACTTCAGATACCGGTATGGTACTGGCCGGTAACTCATACGAGAGCCAACTTGAATCCATCATGTCCGGCACGTCAGAGGGTTTCTCAAGAATCCTACATATGACGCCGTGTGAATCGGGCTCTTGAATGATGGGAGGGACCTCTTCAACGATGACAGTGGCCTCTTGAACGGTGGGATGGGACTCTCGAGGAATGATAGGGGCCTCTTCAACGATAGGAGTGGACTCTTGAGGGATGACAGGCGAGTCAGGCTTCTTCTTGCGGTGTCTTCGCACTATTGGGGTATACGGAGACTTAATAGCACGTGCACGCCGTCTGATGCGTGAACTCTGTCGTACAACAAAAACCTGACGTAAAGCATCCACCTTATCGGTCCGCTAAATAATTAAATACAAATATCAGTAAATAAACAGACATGATATTTAAACAGTGAAAACAAAGACAAATATATTTCAAACTTTCAACCAAACGACAAAAAAAAGACAAATACTAACTTTACAGTGTTAAAGAATACACAGTTTAGCAGAATTGGAAGCAACCGAATAAATTTACTTCAACCAAAAGACAAATACTAACTTCACAGTGTTAATAAATAGTTTAGCAGTATTGGCAGCAACCGAATAAATTTACTAAGCGATCTAAGTGAAATGGTTAATTTAAGTGAAATTACGAGTAAATTTATCATCAAGTTAAATATGGAAAATCTTAAACTTACCTTGTTGTGTAGAGTATGAACCTCATTCTGCAACGATACTACCATCTCACGTAGAGCGGCAACCTCACCACGTAAAGTAGACACCTCCACACGCCATGCACCATCGTTATCGCGTAGAGTACCGATCTCCTCATGCAAGGCATTGACCTCATCGTGTAACTCCCTTGACTCATCCCGTGGAGGTGGAGAACAGGGAGATAGAAGTCGTGGCATCTTTTCCGGTCGCCTATCATGAGGTGATGGTGGAGAAGAGGCTCGATGATGTGACGGGATAGGTAATGGCTCTCGTTGTAGAGGTGTATAGTCGGGTCGATCAGGTGATGGCTCTGGGTGAGGTGATAGCTCTCGAAGTGGAGGAAGTGGAGGCTGCTCATCATTCGTGCCATCAAGAAAACGCTGACTAGCTTGCCACCAATCAGTGGCAAGCTCAGCCTCCGTGGGTGTCAGTCTCATTAATGGAATGTTGGCCTCCTAAAAATATAAAAACTCAAACAAAGTTAAACGTCTACTATTAATAACTTGTTTATATATGATAATATTTGTGTTAACTTACATTATTTATTGTCGCATATGGTATTAAGTCTTCCCAATCCAACAGACGTTTCCTCTTCCAGGAAATAGCCCTGGGAATATCATTTGAAGTTTTTATTGCATATGTCTTCATGGCGGGAAAGGCCTCGAATATCCAAATCTACAAACAATATAATAACAAACATTAGTAATTGTTAAATAATTAATTATAATTTTGAAAACATTATATAGAAATTATTACCTTAAAGGCCCAAACAAAGCCTGACAAAGTGTATTTCGACCCATCGCCCCGCAAACTTTTGCGGTCATCAAAGGCAGACGACAACTTAGTCCAGGTAGCTTTCCATATATACGAACCCCACGGAAACAGATTCCATGCATTTAGGTCCTCTACCAATAATATTAGCTCCTGAGGAATAGGGTGTCTGGCCTCTCTGCCTAAAAAGCCGGCATACAAAAGTAGTAGAAGGCATACTCGGACAACATCGACGTCATTCATCCGAGTAAAACCATCTTTCTTATTAAACAATTTCTTCATGTCGTCACGTGTAAGTTCGGCTTCTCTATTGACTCATCAGGAAAAACCCTGGATAACCATGATGGGCGGGTGATATGACGAGTGTACCGGCCTACATCATCGTGTCCGAATCGTAGACCAGTGATTAAGCAGAACTCCTTCCGCCCAAAACAAGTATACGCCGGTGGAAAATGAAACCATATCTCTTCCTCACCACGTTGTATACTGTCGGGTAGATCGCTAGTCATGGTCTGAAGCCACAAATGGGTCAAATTAGCATCTCCACCCGGATGCTGTACTCTCAGCCATGGCCCGAAGCAGGTTTCCTCAAACAATTTTCTTTGTGCAGGTGAAAGCTTCGAAGCAATTGTAGTGGCTACGCAACTTTATTCCTTAATGTCAATGAAGCCAAAAAAAATTTCTACAAAAACAATAAACATACCAAGTTAGATATACCAAAAACTACACTGTGAAGATATACCAAAAACAATAAACATAAATAGTAGTTTATTCTTGAAACTAAAATTTGCAACACTGTTTTGTCTTTTGGTTGAAATGAAAATCGCAACGAGATAATGAGAATCGCAACGCGAAATGACTATCGCAACGAGAGAATCGCAACGCGAAATGACTATCGTAACGAGAGAATCGCAACGCAAATGAAAATCGCAATGTGATTTTGGTTTCGCGTTGCGATTTTCATTTCGCGTTGCGATTCTCTCGTTGCGATAGTTATTTCCGTGTTGCGATTTTCATTCTCGAAACTATTCTTCTTCTGCATTACTTCAACCAAAAGACAAAACAAAGACAAATACTAACTTCACAGGCTAAACAGTTTAGCAGTATTGGCAGCAATCGAATGAATTTAATAAGAAATCTAAGTGAAATGGTTAATCTATTATTGAAATTACCAGTAAACTTATCATCAATCTCAATATGAAAAACCTAAAATAATGCAAAATTTTCAAAATAAAAATAAAAAAAACTAACCCTCGGAGGTTGATTTTCCATTTCTGAATGATTGTGAGGGATTTCTGACTGTGAATGGTTGTGAGGGATTTCGCCGGCGATGGGGACGAAAATCTTCGGAGATGGGGACGGATTTCGCCGTAGAGAGTGAGAGATGGAGATGGGACTGAGTGTTGTGATTTTAGGTTTGAGGTTATGAGTTGCGATTAATGTGGACGGTTCAGTTTTCGATTTATTAAGAAAAAATTTTGTGTTTGGAATTTGAAAAAAAAAACGTGTTAATACGAATGGCGCTATGTAAATCGCATTGCGATAGTAAGATTCGCATTGCGATTTACGTATTCGCATTGCGATTTTCCTAATTCGCATTGCGATTTACTTAATCGCGTTGCGATTTACGTATTCGTATTGCGAATTATGAAAATCGCAACGCGAATACGTAAATCGCAATGCGAATTAGGAAAATTGCATTGCGATAGTCAGTATCGCATTGCGATTTTCCAAATTCGCATTGCGATTTACTTATTCGCATTGCGAATTGGGAAAATCGCAACTCGAAATTGGAAAATCGCATTGCGATAGTCATAATCGCGTTGCGAATCTGGAAACTGATTTGCGATAATGGAGATCGCGTTGCGAATTAGCGATCGCATTGCGATTTTGTTGGTCATTTTAAAAGTTGGTTAAAATCGTATATTATATAGGATTTTTGGTCACTGAGGTTATTTTCTTTTTTTTTTACTTAGTTTAGTAACTGATAATTACTAGTTTTCCATTTTCTGTCCATTAAAATGGCTGCTTCTTTTGCTGATTCTTCTCGGTCGGTCACTCGCTCACTCACATATCCTCTCCTGTTATATCCAATGTGAAGTAGAAATGGTGTTATATGTTGAATGTTTCCCCCTAGTTTATGTTAGATTCTTCTACAAACTATGATATACGGAATTCTCCTTGAAATTCTCCTTCAGCCTATCATACATTTGTTTGTCATGTTGTCTCTGCATGCCTAATTTCTTGATGAATCGCCAAGAGTTAGATTCAGCATAAGACGTGGTCTAAAACTCATGTTCATTCAATCATTGTGCAGCTACTTCTTTTGGTTTAGCTGGTCTATAATTTTATCTTGTCAACTAAGTACCAACCTAGGGATCTTTTAATCAAATTTATGCTTGTGTTTCATTGTGTTTTTTTTAACGAAAACTAAATATAAATTTCTTTTTCCTTTTTTTCAAGATAATAGAAATTTTAATTACTGTTACTTGCTGTTTGGAGAGTTTGACAATCATATTGCATATGAACTATAAAAAATACCACAGTTCTTGTTCACAAAGTAATATGCCAAGTGCATTGCTATTTGTTATGATAATTTGGAGAGTTTTTGGTCCTGTCGATGTCATTAGTTGCCATTGTAGGCTAGATTCTCCCCGACTAAGCAAGCATTGTTTGTTGTAAACGATGAGCTTATTTAGAAGTGACTGGTTAATGAGTGATATTCATAAAGGAATCTGGGTATGAATTTGTTATAATATTGGAAGTGGATGGAATAAGTTTTTTGTTCAGGTTTCATGTTTTGGTGTGCTTGTATAGGTTGATACAATATATTTATCTTTTTATTTAACATTGTATTCAGGACCCGATGGCCTGTTTGAGGTGAAGAAGCATCACTAGGGCGACGGATGGCCCGGTTGACATATCTTTCCGAGTTCCATCACATTCTTATGATTTGTCTGAGAAATCAATGGATCTTTGCATGTAATTTTAGCAGTTTCATTCATGTTTCTGGATTTATAGATTTTGCATTGCAACTTTATCAGGTTTTCTACACGGATGTGCCCTTTTTACGATATAATAAGATTAATGAACGGTTTGTGGATCTTGTCCTTTACACCTTACTTACACATCATATTGAAACTCACATCAACTTCTCGGAAACTATATTGGCCTTTTCAACCAAGATAGTCAATTACCGTTTTACCCTTTATGTAGGGGTAGTCTGCACCGGTATGTTTTGGTTTTTTTTTTTTTGGTTTCTTGATATTTTTTAAATTATTTTTCCTATATATATAGTTTTTCCTTTTTCAAGTTTGTTTAGTAAAATAATATTTTATATATACAAATATATCACTTTTACATATATATAAATACGTTTACATTGAACTCTTATTTTAGATATAACTACGTTTATATATTTAGTAAAAAGATATTATATATTATACATACATACTTGATGATCATATTTTAATTTTAGATATAGTTATGAAAAGAATGATGCAGAGATAAGATAGAAATTGATTTAAAATATGGCTAATGACAAATTTAACTATCGATGTTTGCATTATTTTCTTTTTCTATCCTTTCTTTCTTGAGAATATTGTAGTTCTCAACATTTTAATTTTTGCCAAAATAATTTCTATTAAATGAAAATCGTTAATTGATTGACGATTAACATATGTAATTGACGTGATATTTTTACATATGTTTAATTGATAATATAAAATGTATCATGTTATCAAAATGACCACACAAAGCAATGATGTGATATGTATTATATTACCTAAAGTGATGATATGATATGTGTCTAGTCACTCAAAATTGTAATATAATATATATCATGTCACCATTTAAATACATGTGAAAAAGTAATGCTAATAACATATGTTGACTGCTAGTCAACTAACGCTTTCCATCTAATTGGGACTATTTTGATAAAAAAAATTAAAATATTGAAGACTAAAATGTTTCAAAAAATTAAGAAACAAAGTGATCATTAATGTAAATATTAAGGATTGATTTTATTATTATACCTTTAAAATAATAAAATAGCATACCAACCAGTCTGAGTTAGTACCGTTTTATTTCATCTTTTTTTTTTACATTAATCGATACCAAAATAGTCATAATTGTTAATAATATAACTGAAAAATAATCAAAGAGGAACTAATATGAAACGATCGTACAACAGACTTAATAAGAATTATACCTCTCCAAACCTACTCTATATTTACAGATAAGGCAAACTTAATCACTAATAGTCTTTCATAAAAAAATAATACCTAAATAAACTTAATCATCAAATAACCTTCGACCACTAGAATTATAATAAAATTTGACTTAATTGCCAATTAAAATTTGAGTCAACATTTAACAATCTTTTCCTTTCCACAAATTCTATCTAAAACTCGACCTTTAAGTCGTTAATAACTTTAATTTTTAAGTAAGTCATATACGCATTAAAGAATCATCTGTAAGTCTTCAATAACTTCAACTCTTACCAAAACTAAATATCCGTTGAAACATCTTTAGATTGATTAAGAATTACTCCCCCCATAAAGCTGAAACTCATTGTAACAAAACTCCCTTTACACACCTTCTATATCGCTAATAAAATATGTAATAACATATTACCTTAAAATTCCATGAATATCACTTATTAAAAATATATAAACATAAATCAAAATGAAATCAATATGAATTAGATTACACACAAAAAATTAATATAATGTGGTTAGAATTTGTCTATCCCACGGATAACAAAAGAAATAATCCACTATAAATAAAAAAATAAAAAATAGTTCAAATACATAAAATTTTATATATCTCATAAATCAAATATATTTCATGAACCCATTATATTACTAAACTCTTCCGATTCCTATAAAACTCATCTCTGATTCAATAAGGATTATATCTATATAGTTCTCATATAATTCTAAAGATTAAATTTTTATATTTATGGAGAAACCATATTTAGTCGCTAAGAATTATCACTTTAAAAGATTTTTTTTACCTATGTACATTTAATTATTAAATACTTTTTTACTACTAAAATTATAATAAAATTCATTCAATTTAAGTTTCAATTAAATTATTTGTAAATAATTGAGTGATTATAAGATAATATTTGTTTAAATTTTTTATTAATTATTGATAATTGATAATGTATGTATACCCTACAAATGTAACTACTCAATTCATAATCTTCTAACGATAACAATATTTAAATTTTAATTAAAGTTTAAATCAACATATAATACGAATAATAAATTATCGAGTCATCTCGGAAAAAGATATCTGACAAAGAGGGGGTTAGGATGTCAAAGAATAAGGTCGAGGGTTGAGTTTTCAAAAGAAAATTAGGTGTTTGGGAACCATCTTCGCCAACCCCACTGCTCCTAATGCTGCAAATTCATGGATTCGGGCAAAAAAAAAAATCTGGCGGTTCTGTGTCAATTTGATGGTGTAAACGCCACCTTACACCCGTTTGCATAAAAACTTGAATCTAACCTACGACTTTCGTATTTGCCGGATAGAACACAAATTAAAGCAGTATATGTACAGGCTTATGAAAACTTGGAGCTTTTCAATTATTATAACTAGAAATCTACAAGTACAAATTTCAACACTAATATCACAATAAAACACAAGTAGCTAAGAACATACAATGTCTCAATCCCATCTCAGGAAAAAGAAAACAAAAATTTAGTGACCGTAAAGACTCATATAGTGAACGACAAATCATTACTATTTCATTCTGCAGCTGCATTCCCACTGTTATTTCCCTCAGTCGTGGTATCTGGCTGAGTTCCCAAACCTGTTTGAGCTTCTTTCACTTCTTGAGTCATTGAAGCATTGGACGAGCCATTGGGATTGTTCTGGCTTGCATCAGTGTTTCCATTTGTATTTGATGACGGATCCGATGAATTTGAAGAATCCACTGATTTGTTTTGCTCTGTATTTGTATCGTAGTTAGAATTTCCATTGCTGTCGTTGAAGCTCTGAACGGCGTTGTTGTTCTCACTCTGATTTGAGTTTTCATTGCTGTTGGTATGGCTCTGGGTGGCATCGTTCTCATTTTGACTTGCATTTTCATTTTTGTTGTTCTTGTCGTCGTTGTAGCTCTGAGAAGCATTATTCTCATTCTGACTTGCATTTTCGTTGTTGGTACCACTCTGAGCAGCATTGTTCTCGTTCTGACCTGCATTTTCATTGTTGCCACTGTTGCTTTGAGTGACCTTGTTCTCGTTTTGACCTGCATTGTCATTGTTGTAAGTGTTGCTTTGAGTGAACTTGTTCTCGTTTTGACCTGCATTGTCATTGCTGTCGGTGTTGCTCTGAATGGCCTTGTTCTCGTTTTGACCTGCATTGTCACTGCCGTCAGTGTTGCTCTGATTGGCCTTGTTCTCGTTTTGACCTGCATTGTCATTGCTGTCGGTGTTACTCTGAGTGGTCTTGTTCTCGTTCTGACCTGCATTTTCATTGTTTTCGGTGTTGCTCTGAGCAGCATTTTCATTCGAATTGTTGTCCTTTTGAGTAACATATGCAGTTGCATTTTCATTGTTGTCCGTGTTGCTCTGAGTGGCATTGTTCTCGTTCTGGCCTGCGTTTTCATTGCTTTCGGTGTTGCTCTGAGCAGAATGTTCATTTTCATTCAAATTGTTGTTCTTTTGAGTAACATCTGCAGCTGCTTTGTCTGTGGCATTGCTCTGATTGTTGGTGCTGCTGCCATTCCCATTTGCATTCCCATCATTGTTTGTAATGCCACTATCGTTCCCATTCTGACCTGCACCAGCATTATCATCAGTGTTCGAGGATGTTTCACTGTCTTTATTCTCGCTAGCATTTGAATTCTCATTTGTGTTTAGCGACAGAACATTTTCTTGTGTCCCCTCTCCAGAATTGTTGTTTGATTCTTCACTCTGAAAAGCATTTGGATTGCCGTCTGATCCAGTCCGTGCATTGGAGTTTTCAGTCTGTCCATTTGATTCAGAGCTTGTGGAGTCTCCATTTGTTCCATCCTCGTTCTCAGTTGAAGTTGGAGTTGCATTTGAGTCTAATTGCTCACCACTGCCACTTGAATCCGATTTCTCAGATTGCTGAACTATATCATTTTCATTCTCAGTTGTTCCATGTGTTGCATCTGTCTGATTCTCATTTGATTCCGTAGCTGTATCAGTTTGTGAATCTTCTCTTTTGTTCTCGGTTGTTTCATCATGATGGACATCGGCTGCTTCACTGCTATTTGTTTCGTCCTGATCTTTCTTATCTTTGTTTTCCAACTGCTCTGACACATTGGAATTTTCCAAACCACTCGTCTCGTTCTCAACTGCTACATTTTGGGCATCATGGACTACTTCACTGGAAGCGTCATCCGCCTTGTAATGTTCTTCCCTTGCTTCTTCATTGTTCTGGTCAACTCCATCCCGAACCTGGTCATCCGAGGCACTTGAATTCTCTATCTCACCTTCACTCTTTTCCGTCTCTTTCTCTTCATGTGCCTCCTCATTCCCTTTGTTTTCAGTGTCCTCTTTGCTCCCACTATTTCCATTTTCTTTGCTCTCTTCACTCTCCTCTTCCTTCCCTCCACCTAATGAATCCTCTCTGCGGTCAGTTTCCTCCTCAGGTTTCTCTTTATCACCTTCGTTCACTGCATCGACATCCCCACTCTCTTTCCCTTCATCTTCAGTTACCTCAGGCTTGTTATCTTCTTCTCCATTCTTGCTCTCTTCCTCCTCTTCCTCCTCTTCCTCCTCTTCCTCCTTGTTCCGTGCATCCTTAACAGTTATTCCTTCCGATCGAGGAAAGTCCTTTCTCCCCAACTTAACGACTTCATTCCCCGATGTCTCATAGGCTGCTTTCTTCTCACCAGAGTGCTTAACTTGGTAAAGCAACCAGATGCAGATACCTACAAGAACACATATTTGAAGAGCATGCTTTACCTTCAACCCTTTCGATCTCGAGTTCCTACTAGGCGAATCACGGAACATGACGAACTTCCTTTCCAATTAACCTACCGGAAAACACCAGAAACATTGGAGTTCTTCAACAGATTTATAATCCGACATATTCGTATAATTCAACTTAGTAATACCACAATATTCGTATAATAACAATTACAGTACACTAATCCGATACAAAGAGAAAATTAAGCAAAGATCATTGAATTAACGACACCAGAATCCAATACTTATTTAAGAGATTTAATCAAGATGATAAATCCAACTCTCTTCTATTTATCAAGGTCAAAAATCACACAAAACAAGTTCAGAATGCATGCCATGAAGGGATAACGATAAAGAAGTTGCAGCTCGAAAATTCCATGAATAAAGAACAAAAAACAGCAACTTTGTCCAAATGGTAGTAGTGGAAAAGAGAGAAAATGCAGGATCAAAGTGCAAATATAATCTGAAACAATGCAATAACTTGCATTTCAAAGCAAACCCATTTTTAAGACTTGAAAATCAAAATGAGAAAGCTTTGATGGAGACTTACCCAGAATCCGAAAGATCCCAAACTAACAAACAGAGGACACTTTACTTTCTTTTAGGGAACTCCGGGAACGGTTGAGTTTCCAGGAAATCTAACAAGAAGAAAAGGATATGAAAAAGGCTTTGACTTGAAGGACTAGAAACTTTGCGTGTCGGTGCAAAATGAGATCGGATCTGGCAATGGAGAAACACAGGCTTAACACCACATATATAATGGCGTGCTCCTTAAAAAGACTGTTTTAGACAAATCAAAACTCCCAACAAGAGCAATTTTAAATGTCCATATCTCTACCATGCTTAAACATTTTTTTATTTAAAACACTTTTAGTCGGTTTTTCTCTATTAAATCAAAATTAATAATTTTATTATAATAATTTAAATGATTGTAAATATATTATTTATTTTAAAAATAGATATAGATAAAATAAATATATCTAAATCTTTTAAGGAGAACAACATTATTTTTTTTATCATTAAGATCACTAAATTGATTTAATAATTTATTTCAATATAAATTAAAGATTCAAATTTTATTGAGATAATATATATAACAAGGAAAATTCTAGAATACACGTCGTATATCGAAACACATCACTAATGTAATATATCGATGTATATCATTAATTTAATTGTTCTTATTAAATAAATATGAAAAATATAATAATCTATCTATAATTTTTCCTTTATTACTATTCAGTTTAAATTTTAATAGAAATATTATTAAATTATATTTTAATTAAAAATTATAATTGTTTTAAGAATGTTTATTTATTTAGGATTGGAACACGTAATTTGACTGATAACTTACACGTTACTATACCAAGAAAGTTCATGAATCAGAACATACTCTTAGGAATGAATACATAGAACAAACTTCATTAGATCAGAATGAATTAAATGTTATTATTGTAGTCATGGAGCTTTATTTTGAAAGGAAAAAATGTTTTTTTCTTTTACTTTTGTTTCCTGTATTCCTTTGCCCAAGTGGGTTATAGAAGATATGGACAAAGACTCAAATAAAGATAAGTTTCCTGCTAATATAGCTCTTCGAATACGAATAGAATCGTCGGCAGTTGAGTTTGATGGTTGTTATTGAGATGATTATACAAATTTATCCTCGTAGACATGACTAAACAAAGGCTGTACTTGCATATCCAATGTGATCGATTCCCTATCTTTCTATTTCCTCTGACATAAAAACAGTTATCCAATGTTTCCTAGTACATTTTCTTGTGGATTTTACTTCAAATGGATCAAACGCCTTTCTTCTGCTTCCCAAACTGCTCCTCCTTTTACTTGATTTGTGCTCAGACACTTATCCTTTGTGATAATTTAAGTTTCAAGGGAAAAAGGATTTGTTATTAGGTGTTTCCTTACACGCCAAGAAAATACTGCAAAGTAACCAAAAACAACTGGATTCTGCCATAGAATTGAAAGCATAAGATAGTATAGAAGCACTTTCAGATACTCAATAAATTACAATCGACCAATACTGTCTGGTTCGAAAATGGGTATTCAAGAACATAAAATATGTGTTATGATATGGAAAAAAGAAAACAGTATTTTAAGGGTTGAAGATGAAGTTTCCACATTTGCATTTCCAACTCATGGGCTTGTAGTTGGAGTTTCCATCTCCTCTTTCATAGGCAGCAACATTAGAGACAGATATTAACGTTGAAGAAGAAGACTTGCTCCCTTTCCGGACTTGAGGATTTGTAGGCACTTGAATGACTTCGCAGCGCTTGCATGAGCTACATCTTCTCTCACACCATGGCGGCCTTGAACCTATCTGCGCTCTCAATCACGCCTTCTCTTCATTCACTGCCTGTCCAAAATTCATTGTATTTGATCTACCTGCAAAAACAAGATAGGAAACAAGAAAATTGAATTAAAACCCATAACTTAAAAACTTGGCAAAATTTAATGAATTTGTTACCTTTGGCTTTGTTTCTCAGTTGAGACATGCTTAAAATCAAGAGAAAAAGAAGGGAAAAGTCGCATGGTCTCAGGCAAAATATGAAACTGTGGCAACTACAAACCATTTTGATCAATAGAACAAAAGGAAAGCCAATGAGACCAAAAGAGCATTAAGAACTGAACAGAGAAGTAAATAAGCCAAGATATATATATAAAGCTTTTTAAATAGTTGGATACTTTTATAACAGAACAATAGAATGGTTTCAGTGAATGAATTTACAGCAGGAAATAATATAAGCGATACATCACTCTGTTGAAATGATGGAAAGATAGTATAGGAGGACAAATAAGTTAAATACAGAAACCAAAGAGAAAAAGAAGCCATGAAAGGAAAACGAGCTTTATAACCTCGTTTGTTGAGCCGCTTAAGGATTTGTCTTAGGAAAGGTAGACTAATATACGACTAATATATGACGTTATCAGATATATTAAAATATATTTAATAAATTCGATTTAGCGTTACCGGATATGTTGAGTAATAATAATGTTGTAGGTGGAAATCATGAAGAAATATTAAAAAATTTGGCAACCGGCAAACTTAGCTTGTCGGTATGTATCGATACAAAAATATATATCGATCCATAACAGTATAACAGGTAAAAATATGATCAAACCGGTTTCATTATGAAAAAACCTGTAAAGCGCTACCTAATATGTTTAAAGTATCGATTCCATTGAAATAAATATCGACACTTATGGAATTTAAAAGAGAAGCAGTAATAGCGCCTATAAAGTGTCAATACTTTATAAAAATGTATCGATCCATAAAAATATAACAAGTAAAAATATGACAAAACCGGTCTAGAAATGACAAAACCGGTAAAGCGTTACCTAATATGTTGAAAATGTCGATACTTTAATATAAATATAGACATTTTTGGAATTTAAAAGAGAAGTAATAATAGCGCCTATAAAGTATCGATATTTTATAAAAATATATCGATCCATAACAATATAATAGGTAAAAATATGACAAAACCGGTCTCGAAATGACAAAACCGGTAAAGTGTTACCTAATATCTTGAAAGTGTCGATACTTTAATTTAAGTATCGACACTTTTGGAATTTAAAAGAGAAGCAATAATAGCGCCTATAAAGTGTCGATACTTTATAAAAATACATCGATCTATAACAATATAACAGGTAAAAATATGACAAAACCGGTCTCGAAATGACAAAACCGGTAAAGCGCTACCGGATATGTTGAAAGTGTCGATACTTTAATAAGTACGCATAAAATATTATCGATACTTTTTAAAGAAATAGGTAAATATCATATCGAAAGTATCGACACCTTACATAAAAGTATTGACACTTTGGTAGTTGTATCGATTAAATATTAATAACATATCAGGTTAAAATATAAAGGGCATAGCTAAATTTCCTCTGAAAATAGATAGAACATGGCCGAGTTTTTGAGAAATCGAAGCGTAATTGTTGCTACATTTTAGAATGCGTTTTCAAAGCAAAGTTTGTTTGTTTGTTGCTGCAGTCGAATCGAAAAGTACTTTGTCGAAACTCTAGTTTTCTATTATTACAGTAATCGGAAATAGGGGTATTATGTGTTGTTTGAGGTTTTGGAAGTAAAGAAGCATTTGAGACCGATTACAGGTAGAAAGTGATATTTTAGGTAGATGATAAATATCGATACTTTTATTAAATATTATAGGTAGAAAATGATATTTTAGGTTGTATAAATGTGCCGATACTTGGAGTATTGAGTGTTCCCATTCGTTTGAAGAAAATAAGGATTAGGGTTATTGGGTTTGGTTTGGGGATTTTGAATCGAAGCCAAGAAGGATTTGGGATCGATTATATAATATTATAGATAGAAAATAAATATGGATATATGTATATAATATTATAGGTAGAAAATGATATTGTAGGTTGTATAAATGTGCCGATACTTATAGTAGTGGTCATTTAAATTCTTTTGAAGGAACCCATTTCACTGCAATAGTAGTTATCGATATTTGCATATTGAATAAAGTGTAGGTTGCATTTGATTTTGATTTGCGTAAACTGATATATGAAGGAAAAATGAAGTCAACAGATCTTGAAATTATTGGTGGCAAAGATGACTTTGGAATTGAGGCCGAGAGTCGAAAGCAACCAAAGGGTGGATATATGTACTTCTAGTAAGTATCAATGTATTTTTGTTATTATTGTTGAAATGGTAATTGGATTAAAGTATTTAAGAACTTTAAATTGAAAACAAATTTTAAATGTTGACAGTATGACCGAATGCCAAAGGATGAAGGAAGTTGGCAATCACATCGGTTCGGTATGTAAAATGAAATTGATATTGAGTATTATTTAGCGTTAATGTATTGATTAAGAAACGTTTACGCTTAATTTTAAGTGTGATATGATGTGTTAGAGAAATAGAAGTCGATGAGTGATGCTGAGAAGGAACCTTACATCATACAGTCAAGGATAGATAGACAAGAATATAAAGCTTGGAGGAAAGCACATGAAAAGAATGTATTCATTAAACTTGTAAATACTTTGATACAAGATAAATAAGAACAATAACATTATATATTGTTAAAAAATATAGGAAGTGTCGACAAGGTGCAGCTTAAAAAGAGTGAATTCATTAATTGAACACCTTAAGGAGAATGAGCAATTGAATGTGCTGAAAGAAATGGGGTTTGGATCCTTGATAGGAGTGAGGGATCGACCAATTCAGAGGAAATTGTGTCGATCCTTGATGGAGCAATTTGATGTCCAGTAATGTATGGTGATTATTCATTTCCTCTAGGGGTCACATGTGTTGCAGCCGTATTGTGGGTTTCAAATAAAAGCAAAAGTGTTGTAGAAGTCGGTAAGAATAAGACTTGGAAATCGCTTGCCTCTAAATATGATTTGAAGCACAAGGTGACATATACTAAACTTGAAGAGGAAATCAAAAGTGGATCTTACGAGGGGGATTTCTTGAAGGCCCGAGTTCTATTGTACCTTACCGGGATCTTTCTTTGTCCAACATGTGATACATCAACGAGAAAGGACAATATGAAGCTGATTTGCGATGAAGGCTTGAGAGGTGAATTCAATTGGGCTGAATATGTCCTTTCGAGATTGATTGAATCAATAATCAGCTTTCAAAAGGGATCTCAAAGATACCTCAAAGAGTGCATAGCAATCTTAGAGGTAAATGAGTTGAAGAACGTTTTTGTTTTATATATAAAATGATAGTATATTTATTATATAAAATGATAAATTTAA